CCACACCTGCACGAACACGAGGCTGTCTGCAGGCACCTCGAGTGGCCCGCCACGGCGTGGGAAGGCGTCCTCCGCGTCCGACAGCTCCAGACGAAACAGGGGTCTGCGAAGCCAGGGCCCAGGTGCCCCGGGGAACAGGGGCGCTGGCGGGGTGGGTAGAGGGTGGCACGGAGAGAGGACAGGTTCCCCAGGCCCTCCGAAGCCACCTGCACGAACACGAGGCTGTCTGCAGGCACCTCGAGTGGCCCGCCACGGCGTGGGAAGGCGTCCTCCGCGTCCGACAGCTCCAGACGAAACAGGGGTCTGCGAAGCCAGGGCCCAGGTGCCCCGGGGAACAGGGGCGCTGGCGGGGTGGGTAGAGGGTGGCACGGAGAGAGGACAGGTTCCCCAGGCCCTCCGAAGCGCCCCACCTCCCCACCCTGGGCCACCTTTGGAAAGGAGTCGCGGTTCTGCTGGCGGACTCGTCCGACCCCAGCCAAACTGGCAGTTTAGGCTGGCGCCAAGCTCTTCGCCCCCGGGGTGAGACCTGCCTGCCCCACTTTTGTTTCTCCACCTGCAGAGCAGGCGAGAGAATCCTGGGGAGGAAGCGGTTGAGGAAAGATCCGCTGGGGAGGCCCGCTTTTGCCCGGACTCTGCTCAGGGATCCGCTAAAGCAGGAAGACCTCGGACCCCTTCCAAGGCGATGTGGGCACTGGTATCCAGTTGGATTCGAGGCTTGGGGTTTTGGGTTTGTAGAGGGCCGCAATCCCAGATGGGGAGCACGTGTGCCAAGGGCAGGGGTCCTCTGTTCCTGCCTCTGCGCGTACACACACACACACACACACACACACGCACGCACGCACGCAAACCCTGGCCCGCACACGGAGATCGGTCTTCAAAGATGACTCAATTGGGGTCGCCAAAGAGAAGCTGCATGCTTGGGTCCCCCAAGCATTTGGAAATGGCCCTACTTGCACTGCCTTTGTCCTACGATAGCTGCTGGGGACTTAGGGGTTGGTGCCCATCTGGAGATGGGGGACAAGGAGGCCCCACCCTGTCCCCATCAGCCTAGGTGGGGCGGACGTGGTCCCCCTAACCTCTACATACCGAGGGGCCCATCAGGCAAGGCGGCGGCCCCAGGCAGCAGGAGCAGCAGGAGCGTGGCGCCCAGCATGCTGTGCCGGCGGAGGACGGAGCCCTGTGGGCCAGCAGCAGACACCTGCGTAGGCTGTGCCCAGGCCCTGCAGGTGGGCAGGGAGCCCTGGCCTTGGCCAGACACCGCTCCAGGAAGCAGAGAGCGGGGGTGAGGGTGGGAGGGCCTGACACCAGAGCCCATGTCCAAGGCCTGCAGGGATTAGGGGCTCCTCTCCTGCTCTGCCTGAGATGCCCGGAGAGCCCCTCCCTCTGGAAAGCTGCCCCTTTGAACGGGCGCCCTCAGTTCCCCCTCCAGAGCTAGGCTCCAACCCATCCTGGCCTCTCCCCAGGGCGCCCGCCAGGTGCTACCAGGCTGAGGACACACCACACTCAAGAAAAGGGAGGGGTTTTATTCTCAAGCGTCCAAGGAGTTACAAACGAGGGCGATTCGTTTTAAAAAGGAACAGGGCAATACTGGCAGCCTGAGAGGGGCTCCATGGACCGGTGGGCTGGGCCAGGCCACCCAGGCCGCTGCCCGCCCGGCCCTCTGCCTGGTCCAGAGGGATGGCTGGTGACAGGGGAGGTCTTGGGAGGGGCAGGGGGCAGCCCCAGGCCCCCACTTAACACTGAAGGGTAGGGGCCGGGCAGACACACTCGCACAACAGGAAAAGTAAAATAAAATCGAAACCAGGCAGCCCAGCCTCAGGCCAAGCCGAGCAACCTTCTAGTGACCCTCCCTGGCCGCGGAGGGCAGGGGCCAGGCCACCCACCCTCCCACAGAGGAGGCGGGAGCAGAAGGTGGTCTCCGGGGCAGAGAAGACGGATTACGTTTAAACATGCAGCATCGTGAATATAGTAACAGTCTATAGATAGGTAAGAGGCCATAGTGACGGCTAAGCCTATTTGCTTCAGCTACATCCAGCGAGGTTCCTCACCTTTGGCGTTGGTTTTATATATATATTTTTTCCGTTTTTTTGTTTTCTTGTCCACTTGGTTTGCATGCATCACCAACGAAAAGGGCCCACACCCCTTCCTGCTTCACCCCCTGTAGCAGGTTCGGGCTCCTGGCTGGGCACCGCAGCCTTAACTCGCCCAGGGTGGGCGGGCAGACTCCGGGGCTTCCCAGTCCCAGGGGCGGGGCTGGTCGGCCCGGGTGAGCTGAAGGGCGCTCAGGCCCTGGAGGGGCAGCCAGCTCGCTCCCACCAACCCATCCCATCCCTGTCACACATCCGCACACCTGCACACCTGCTCCCTTGCCCTCAGCCGACTCCCTCCAGACCCCTCCCTGGTCACCCAGCCCCTCTGACCTCGTCGCCCGCTGCGCCTTACGCACTCCTCGCCCTCCTCGCCCACGTTCCCCGAAGGCCTCCCATGTAGCCAAGGCCCCTCCAGGCTCTCGCCCTCACCTGAGCGCTTCAGCTCACCCCAGCCACGGTCTCCAGCCCCAGGGAGGAGCTGCCCCCGAGCCCCTGTGGGCCCCGTCCCTCCTGGGCCTCCCCCAGCCCAGGCTGAGGGAGCAGTGGCCCCAGTCCCCGAAGGCAGGTGGGGGTAGCCCCGCCAAAAGCAGCTAAACGTGACTTTGGTAAAAGTTTCTGAAGGTACCGACACACCGTATGAGGACAAGCTTTCCTCTCCCCTTCCCCCAAACACCCACCAAGTACAATAAAATACAATAAACTCCAAAAAAGACCCCCTGAGATCAAAGAGAGAGAGACCAGCGCCAGTCCAGCTGCAGTCCCGAGACCCATGCCCTGGTAAGGACTGGGGGGCACTGAGGCAGACCCAGGGCTCCCACAAGATCGGAGCGGCTGAGCCCAAGCCTGGGCCAGGAGAGAGGAGGGAAAGCTGGACGGCGGCTGGGAGGCAGAGGGACGGGAAAGAGGGCGACAGACAGCAAGCGCATGGGGCGTGGGGGGCGGACCCGGGGCTCTCTCCTGGCGAGGCCGCCCCTGCCCAGAGGTTCCAACTGAATAAACAGCGAGTGTGCTAGCGGCCTGCCGTCCTCCGTTCACAGTGTCTGTCCGGGTAACGCACACGGCCGGCTGACCCCGGGGCGGGAAGGGCCCGAGTGTCCACAGCTGGTGTGGGCAGAGCGTCGGGGGTGGCAGACCCCCAACTGCTGTCCTCAGCCCTCAGCGGCCGTCCAGCTCCCAGGTCTCCCCTGGCGGGCAGCTGGGTGGCCGGGTCGGGAAGAGGGGCCTGTGGCTGTGCCCCTGGCCCGGTGGGGCTGGCCGCCACCACACGGCTACCTGAAGAAGGGCAGGTGGGGCTGGCTCAGCGCTCCGCTAGTCCTCGGGGACTCGGTCTTCGCCATGACGTCCTTGAACCAGGACGCCACGTCCACCTCCAGCGTCTCGTAGCGCTTGATGAAGCTGTGCTCCTGTGGGCCCAAGGGGGGCTTAGTCTTCCCTCCCGGCCTCGTCCTCAGGCCTGAGGGGGCTTCCCAAGAGGCCCAGATACTCACAAGTAGCTTATTATACTTTGGTCTCTTCCTGTGATCTTTAGTAAGGCTGGAGAAAGAGGGGGGACAGGTGAGCAGGCGTCCTCAGGCCTAGGAAGCAGCTGCGGACGTCCTCCGGCCCAGTGCTCCCCGGAGCCACCCGCCAAGCTGTGGAGGCTGCAGGAAAACCTGGCTTGGGGAGCTGGGCTGAGATGCGAGATTCCCACCTAGGGCAGGCCGGCCGGCTGCCTAAGGAGGCTCAGGCGCGAACTCCTGCATGCTCTGCCCCACTCACCCCTGCAGGGCACGCAGCACCACTGCCAAAGGGGGCGGACTGCCACGGGGGTGTGCAGCCAGCCTGCAGCTCCCAGGACACCGGCTTTAGCCCCTGGGCTCAGGCTGCCCCTCCCTGGCCTCCTGGAGCAGAGGGGCAGGACGGGTGTTGCTCACCAGTCTTTGACGAAGGACTGAAAGTCCCCTGAGAAGCCCATGTGACCAGGCAGGAGCGGGGGCTCTTCCTGGAGGACCTTGGTGAGGACCTCGAAGTCCGTCTTGCAGTTCTTATAGGGAAACTGTCCTGTTGCCAGCTCCACCTGGGAGGGAGACGGAAGGCGGCCCGAGTCCTTCCCTGCACTCCCAAGGGCTTCAGCCCAGGCCCAGGACAGCGGCAGGCCCAACTCACCAGCGAGATGCCCAGGCTCCACACGTCAGCCCGAATGTCATAGTCGGGCTTGGTGGGGTCTGGGGGGTCGA